TTATCACGTTGAGCGACCCATGCCAGCATCTTCAAGGCGATGACAGACTGTTTGTTTTCAGGTTTGTACCCGCAAGGAGGAATGACGGCGATGGTGTTCTCCTGGAGGAACGTTTTACGGAAGACGAGATTACACGCAGAAGCAATGGTGAGACAAGAGGCAAAAGGGTCAACATCTGTGACTTGATGGAAAAGTTCGCGGAACTCGAGACAGCAGCGACGCAAAATGTCCACATCGGATTGACAGTATCGCAGAATTTCGGCTTGAAAGTCGAACTCGTACTGACGCTGTTCTTGGTCGCTGTACCATGTATAAAACTTTTCGCGGTCATCGGTGCTCATGCCATCAGGATCGTAGAACTTGGCTTCAGGCATTGGTCCCACATAGTCTTGGTTCTCAGCACGGTTAAAGAAATGAGGAAAGTAACCTTTCTGAAGCTCTGTGAGACCAAACGTTTTCGGGAAGGCGGCGAGTTTCATTGGGATGAAACAGAGAGAGTCTATAAACTTGATGTTCATTTCGGGGACAGTGAGCGAAAGGATTTTTGCGCCACGGGTAATGATTTCTGGAGTGATACCATTCTTGTAAAGGTATTGCAGAATAAAGTACCCGTCGTAAGCCTGGAAATTATGCGCGACAAACGTCGTATTCGCGTTTTCCTGCTGAAACATCCACTCGCAAAACTCGTCTTTAGTGTTTGGTCCAGAAAAGACTTTCTCGTCACCGCTTTCGTTCTGGACTACGCAGAGATTGGGGACGTGTTTACCATCGTCTTGCGTGCACTCAAAGTCGAAGAACATTAAGTTTTTGGTGTCTTCTACGTCGTTTTCCACGGCCACATCATCATCGAGCAAATCGTTTCCTTCTTCAGCTGTCCGTGTCTTCTTCGCCTTTACCGGTTGAAGATAGCATTGATGGTTTTCAGGCTTGACGTACTTTTGACATGTAGAACATCTGACTTTGCCACAGTGATGATCACGAAGACTGGCACGAGTGACAACACGTTTGCATTTCTTGCATTTAATTAAAGCACGACACAGGGATTTAGCAGGGCCGGCGTCATCTTTATGGCGGTTGAAGCATTCGTCACTTTTCAAGAAACGGTTACAGTCTTTGCAAAATTTCCATTTAACGATGGGACAGTTTTGGGTATTACATAACTTGCACAGATCGCCACAGGGATGGTCAGTAATCTTGTCGTAGCCCTTCTTGCATTTATGGCAAAACTGTGTACGGGCGAGGAAGGCAGGCATACTGGTGATGACGTCGTAATGGTTGTCATGATGGTATAAATATAGGTGTTTTTCAGCTTCAGGACCTGAGTAGATGAGGGCATTCAAATGTTCCTTGGGGATTACGTTCAGTTGATAACCAGGGAGAGCAGTTTGGAACTTCTTGACTTCTGGGATGCCACAGGAGCCAAGAGGGACGCCCGCTGATTCATGGAGTTGATGAGCTAGGTGAGTTTGCAGTGTTCCACGCGGTGTTACGATGCTCTTATACTGTGGGTCTTTGTCCAGCTTTGCTTTGGCCACTATGATCGCGCGGGCACAACAGAGATTATCTTTGTTTTTGATTTGAACTATGCCTCGTTTTTTCGTCAAATAACTTTCGAGGTTTACAACATCACGTTTACGCCCAGTACCACCCTGAGGCATTTCGACATGGACCACGTTGACACTGACAGAGTCATCTAAGGTAAATTGATCATTGGACTGTACGACACGTTCAACAGCTGCCAGGAAACGTTCTGGGGTTAGACGATCGCGTTGTAGGAAAGGCAAGGCAAGGAAATGGATTTTTCCAGCTGATCTGAGTTCAGGATCAAGCGAACTTGATCGTGAGGAGCCATGTCACTCGTGAGTCGGTCAAATAAGTGCTGAAATGCGCGGTTCAACGTCGACATGACGTTCGACACCCCGTGCACGTCCAACGGATTGAATTGAACAGTGTAGTCTGTACCTAAAAACCGTAATACACTATTGTACTAACCAAGTAATAGCAGTCAGAAAGACACAAGATGAATAGCATCAAATGTCCTTTATTAGCTATCATCAATTGAGCATACAATAATCATCATATAAACTGTAACATGATTACCCAGTAATATAGAATAATTCGGATACATAAAAACGGCGTGGGTGGTACAAACAACACTAATAGAGAGTTTAAGATCTATGACCCGCTAGCTCAACGACGCGGTCTGAATTTTAGTTCAAGAATGAGCCCTAAGCAATTACATCATTGTAATAAAAGTTTGAAGATTTTTCAAATAACCTTAAAAACTGTTAAGTTCGACTAAAGCAATGCAATGTTTGCTGTAATTTCGACTTTAAGACGGCTCTTGGATCGCAATAAGCGTTCACGTCGTATGAAAGACGTGATAATGCTTAGTTTAACGTTTTGTTTAGCACGACAATGCCTTTGAAAATATCCCTGAGATCACGAATTAATGACAGTTTTTGTCTTGCATATGAAATTTCTTTCTTTCACAAGCAAGTCGCAGGTCTTAAGCTCGCTATATGTATCGAATAGTGCTATACTTTAGCTACAATTCTAATCATAAGCCCTGCAAATACTAAGGCTTCATTTGAGAGTTATGACCATTTATAAAAAGCTTATGCGTTGGATAGGTTTATACGGGCAGTTATAGATGTACATACAAGGAATAAACACAACTCTTATAAGACTCTGCTTACACTATACCGGATTCGCTGGTCACTACATCTTCTTCTGCCGTTACAGAGCAATGGCTAGTAGCAAATGCTTATTAGTTTGACAGAATTGGCATGTTTGTTGGGGTCTCTGAGAATAAAAGTCTTCACAGCCTTTCGATACCTACAAAATTTGCCCCACTCCGATAGCAATCCGGACCATCCGGTATAGTGTAAATGGAGCCTAATAAAGACGAAACCTTGCTCGCACGTAATAAACTCTATCCGGCACGTAACTGATGTTACGTTTAAAAATACACGCTTAAAAATATAAAAACAGTTTGTGTACCTGTCGTCCTGAATTTCCTAACGTTGACTTGTTTCACCGATTTAATATTGAAATACTCCTCCGGTCTTTGGCGTTTTAAGGGGACGTCATCACTGGCGTGCTTTCGCTTGCTCCCTTCACCCTTTTGGTTTTCTGGCGGTTCAGGTAACTGTTCGAGTTCCTCGCACAAACCATCATCATTAGCCCAGTCTTCGTTGAACAGGCGACGCTGATCCTCGGTCCAATTATCCATGAAGCATTAACAACTCCAACCGGATTCTCCCGTTCAATATCTTCGGCCATCGCGTTCGTCCAAAATATAATGCGCTGTTGAAGGACAGCTTCCTTCTGCTCATCAGTGAGCATAAACGAATCCTGAAGAAAATCGAGTTCACTTTCAGCTTCACAAGCTTTGATCAGATCCAACATATTAATCTAGAAATATCAGAAACATATTAATCTAAAAATATCGAAAATACATATTCTAAAACAACTTAATTCAGCCTATGACTCTGAAAATATCTTAACATATATTCAAAACAAATACACAAACTTACCGAATGAGCCATTTTAAAAACAATCCAACGCAATCCACCAGACAACACTTGAGAATCAGAGAAAACCAGAGACCACTCGCCAAAATGCAACAGTGAGAAATGAAACGTGTGTTCGAAACACGATATTTATAATCTCTGATAATTTGTAGTGATGGGCGATACCGAGTACTCGGTATTCGATACCAGCGATACCACAAACAGCGGTATCGGTATCGATTACTGACGTGGTATCGTTCGATACTTGTACCCTTTTTTAAACGACTTGTTTAATTTCACTTCTTGGTCCCCTGATCGCAGGTTAGGTTGAATAAGACTTATAATGAACCACTAAAATAAGTCTTAATATTCCAAATGCGCCAAGTCATGTATAGAAAATATTTATTACGTTTCAGGCTTTTGGTTTACATATAGCTTTATTTAGGTTACATACAGTGATATAAAATGTTTTTCCGCTGACCGGCAGGTATCGAAAGTAGCCGATACTAGCAATTTAAGTACTCATTTCCGGTATCGAAAATTGAAATTTTGTGTTCATTTTGGTATCGAAATAGGTATCGGTATCGGCCGATACCAATCTTAAAAGTATCGGTATCGGTATCGAATTAAAAATCCTGGTATCGCCCATCACTAATAATTTGTCTGGTCGCGTTACTGTGATAGCCACTTATAGTACGTATTCCATATATGGTCATCTCTTGCATAATACTGATGAGCAAATACACGACACTCACGAGCATATACATGACGCTGAAGAGCAAATACATGACATTCCCAGTACTTTGATACTGCGCGATTCGAAGTAATAAGTAGGATTTGCAAAATGGCGGAAAAACAGAGCAGGTATGCAAATCCTTTAGCGCATCCATCGATATACTCTGATGCTGGAACGTGCGACTATGAAGCGTTATTCATGTCAATATTCGCTTTTAAATTATATTATGGAAGAACTCAATTTCGATTACACATGTTCGAATCGAAATTGAGTTCTTCCATAACATAATTTAGAAGTGCATAACATAATTTAGAACCGCAGAACATAATTTAGAACCGCAGAACATAATTTAGAACCGCAGAACATAATTTAGAACCGCAGAACATAATTTAGAACCGCAGAACATAATTTAGAACCGCAGAACATAATTTAGAACCGCAGAACATAATTTAGAACCGCAGAACATAATTTAGAACCGCAGAACATAATTTAGAACCGCATAACATAATTTAGAACCGCAGAACATAATTTAGAACCGCAGAACATAATTTAGAACCGCATAACAAATTTAGAACCGCATAACATAATTTAGAACCGCATAACATAATTTAGAACCGCAGAACATAATTTAGAACCGCATAACATAATTTAGAACCGCAGAACATAATTTAGAACCGCATAAGATAATTTAGAACCGCAGAACATAATTTAGAACCGCATAACATAATTTAGAACCGCAGAACATAATTTAGAAGTGCATAACATAATTTAGAAGTGCATATAAACTTATAAGTCTCTGGAAAATTGCATGCAATGACGTATTTTCGGGAGACTATGAGCATATATATTGGTGCATAAAGCCTGGTTCACATATGCCTGCGGTATGCCTGCGACTGTATCATTATGCCTCTACTTGCCGCCGAAATACCGGTAAAGTTGAACTCAAGTCAACTTTCCCGGCCTACCGCCGATGTAACTGTGGCACTGGAGGCAATCGGCGAACAAATATTCACATAATTTACGTTTTAAGCTACCACCGGCATCGTCGCCGGCACGTCGCAGGCATATATGTAATGTGAACCAGGCTTAATAGAATTTGGAAATGTAACACTTCAGGTCAAACTTTGAGATCAGTGACACAGAGTAGACACATACAGAGCTGGAACTGGCCGTTGTAAACACTGCAGAACTGAACTAACATATGGAAGGCTGACTCGAGCTCAAAAAGTGAAGCCAACATGGCGGAAATTGAAGGCATTCTTGTGCTGACTCGTCCCCAGTCGTCTCTGTGTTTCAAGCGCGGGCGGAAGAAAAGGTATGCGTAAGGTTTTTTAAGCGCGGGCGGAAGCAGGCAAGAAAGGCGGTGTGCACCACACGCGATGCCTTTTCTTCCGCCCGCGCTTGAAACACAGAGACACAGAATAGGAAGTTATACCAGAAGCGTAACTCTAGTCGTTTCCCTTATTGTTTGACGTCCACGAAAATTTTAACTCGCTCACGTCAGGCCACGCCATCCTGGCTAGTACAGCCGGAAGTATTTATCAGGATTTGGTAGGTACAAAGTGCCGGTTGTACTAGCCAGGATGGCGTGATTGATGGATTTGATGACGAATCGCTTGTAAAAACGCGGACAAATATTTGCTCGAGTTACGCTTCTGGTTGCTTCTGGTATTTTCTGGTATAACTTCCTATTCTGTGACAGAGACGACTGGGGACGAGTCAGATTCTTGCGGGTCATTCTCAGTCCCCTTACGTGCCGGTCAAGTTGTCAACAAAATTTTTATATTTTTCTTTATTTTTCGAGCAAAAATTTGGTGAAAAACATACGAAATTTGAATGAAAAGTTGAATTTTGGTGTTTTGTTTGGGTTCAGTTCTAAATTTTAATTATTATTTATTTAAAAGATGCGATATTTGAGTGGAAAGAAAGCAAAATAGCGCGGGATTGCTGTTTTTGTAAATGACAAAGAGTGAAAACACAAAACACAAATGTCACTCAATCTTTCAAAATATCTCTATTGCCCCTATCGACAAGGGTTTCACACACATAAATGACTCATTAAAATGAACAGTTTAAGTTTAAAAGGCAATCATCAAACTGATTTTATTAAATAAAAAATAAAAAAACAAAATTTTCTTACATGTATGGAATTAAATTGGCTAAAAAACTGCCTCGAAAACTGCAGTTAAAAAGCAGTTTTAGGTCAGGAAAACGGACTAAAGTAAGCTAAATAATGGTGTGAAAACTGAAAAGCACCATAGAAAAAAACAAAAAAACAACCAAAGCAAAAATAAATTCCCAGTTTATAAAAATACAGATTTTATATAAAAAAAACAAAAAAAGTTTGAAACTAGTTGTTGAATTCGCAACGAAAAATACAGATTTACTCACACGTACAGTGGGAAAATGCAGTAGACAGATCGATTAGATGAAGGAAATCAGGTTTACATGAAATAAATAAAGTTTATTTCCTTTTTTGCTCTTCTAAAATGAAGAAAAACACAACCCGAGAGTCGCGGACCCATCACTTCCCGCCATGAAATGATGAAAATACAAAAATTGTTTGGCCGTGCGGGTAAGGGGACTGAGAATGACGCGCAAGAACATTGAACTATAAATAAACTGGAAGGCTAACTGCTATGATGAAGGCCTATGATTTGATGAAGCCAAAATAGTTTTTCTGA